TCACTAACATCTTTTTCGAGTAAATAAACAAACACCACTTCATTGTACTGACCAGCTGTTTCATTAACTGAATTAAATTAAATCATGTAAACTTTGGAAGCATGCCAGGCGTAGCACTTTGGAAATCAGCCTGTGGGGCAGAGCCCTTAGGAATAACCTTACATTTTTATTGTTAAGGTTTTTGTTACTCGCTCTACCTCAATTGAGAAAAAACGCAAATGGATTACTTACTTCTTTCTATCATAACAGCAAGGTTACATTGCCAGTTCCACAAGGAAACTTATAAAAATATTATTGCACTGGATGTCACAAAAAATCAAGACATTTCAAGTAAAAAATACCCCCGCCGCAGCAAACCTGCCGACTAAGCGAATTTCCATTTGTCTGAATTGATTTTCAGTTAAATATATTTTAATAACATTAGGTTTAACGAGTACCTAGGTTTGCTGCTACAAGGAAACTAATAAAGTGTGTTTTTTGAGTAAAATATTGATAGCTAAGTACAAAATAAATAAATTTGCCAAGTTTGATCAAAATATATCCATAAACAAGCAAACTACAACATTTGACAATATTCTCCATAAGAATAACATGGGAATTTGAAATTTACAATTTTTTTAATTTTCTCCGTTACTAATAATTGAGCAAAAATACTTTTTATATACTAAATTATTTGTTTTTTTAAGCTCTTTAAAAAGGTCTAAAGAGAAATCGGGAAATTTTGTGTTTTGAGGGTCAAAAGTGAGAAAAACCAATTTTTACCCCATAAAACCCCCCGTAAAGCCCCGTTCCCATGGTCCGATCGTGCTGGTTCGCGAACTCATTCAAGTTTATCCCGCTTTACACCTTTAAACCAAATTTCATCAAAATCGGACAAAAATTACTCAAGTTATCGCGTTCACGGACGTATATATATATATAAGTCTATATATATATATATATACATATATAAAAATTTGAACGAATAGTGTTTTTGGCCTCTGGGGACATCAAAATGAAAAAGTAAATCGGTCCCGGCTCTAGGTCTTACCGTGCCACCTTTGGTAATAGCTACTTCCCTATAGGGAAATTCGCTAAAAGAAGTTTTAACAACTCATTTCATTTGCTATGGTAAGTGTTAGTCGCAATATTAGACCAAAAAAAGAGAAGGGCTTTATATACTTGCATTCAACGGTCTCGTTCATTACAGAATTAGAATAAAACCCACCGAATCACAGTCGCTACGGTCAAGTTTTTTTTTTCTGATTCAGGAGAGGCAAATAATATACACTGTTCATTAAGAGAAAATGAAAATTGTTATCCAAATCTTATACAAGAGTTATTTAACCTATTTCGACGAATAAATCCATACTTTCAAGCTTTCAAAACGTTGGGAAAGGTATAAAGAGAAACTCTACTGAACAATGTGAGAATGTGCTGATGCTGAGCATATGCTCTGACTGACATACAACACATTAAAATTATGTTATAATTGACCAACTTTCGAAGGTGTTGCTGCTAAGATATTCAAAGCAGAAGATGGCTGACCAGTTGGTAACCCAAAGTTTGTTGTATACCTCAACAATGGTACCCCACTTTTCAGGATTCCCCTATGGAAAAAATCCTTCAATGATCGAGGGATATCATAGAAATAAAATGACCCAACTTGAATTTACTTCACACAGATTATCAGTGAGGCAATAATTTTTCAGTTTTCCCTCCTGAAAAAAACTTTGTTGCAGCTTATTTTAGACATGTTCACTCGAATTGAAGGAGAGCGTTTAACACTCATTAGAAGTAATCATGTAACAAACTGAGGGCAGAAATTTATGTGAACGTTCCCAATGCAATTATTCTAATTTAAGCACAAGGTTCTCCTCGACATTATGTTTAATACTATGCGGCTCATCGAGCCGCACGGGTTCCCTAGTGTATATATATATTTTATTAACGGGGAGAGGGAATTAATAGCTCCGTACCAGTTTGGGTTCAGGGTGAGTTTGTCTACTACCGATGCTTAAGTCAAATTCACTTCCAAAATAATTTCAAATCTGGAAAATGGTGAACCGGCAGTTGGTTTTTTTGTGACTTGTCGAAAGCATTCAATCTGGTTGACCATGATATTCTTTGTCACAAACTTGAAGGTTTTGGTATACGTGGAATTCCTCTTCTTCAATGTTTCAGGTCATATTTAGTTGGTCGTAAGAAATACGTTGAGGTTGGCCTGTTCCGATCTCACCGAAGTGAGATATGGTGTCCCTCAAGGCTCTATCCTTGGACCTCTGCTTTTTATTCTTTATATAAATGACGTCGGTACCTATGTTTTTCCCAACTCCTTAACGCTGTATGCAGATGATACCACCATGCTTTTTAAGGACTCGTCTGAAGTTGTTCAAGAGAACATGTCTTCAACAATTACAAATTTTGATAGCTGGCTTTTTAATAATAATCTTCTTTTAAATCAGAATAAAACTAATTAATTATGACCAATTTCATTTCTAACAAGAAGCAAAAATCCACAGCATCTTAAACTACCACAATCATTAAAAGAACTTTCTGAAAAGTCTTTAGGTGTTGTAATGGATTCTCAGCTGATGTGGCAATCACATATTTCAGATCTTTATGGTCATTTGAGCAAGGTGAGCTTTGCCTTGAGAACATTGGTTTCTTTGCTTGATCAGAGGGACCTTATCAATGTCTACCATGGATGCTTTCAGTCTGTTATATCATATGGTATAGAGGTTTGGGGAGGTTCCACACATGCAGACAACGGATTTACGGAACAGAAACGAGCCGTACATATTTTATCTGGTCTCTCATCCTCACACTCTTGTAGGGGAGTTTTTCGAAATCTTAATATACTCACACTTTATTCTCTATATGTTTTTAAAGTGGTTCTTTTCATAAAGAATAAAATTGGGTCTCTTCCTGCTGTTGGAGATAGACATAGGTATCCCACCAGACATGGCTCAGATCTTCTTCTTCCACAAATCCGCCTGTCCCTGTCTGAAAGAGAAACTTTTACAGCGGGTATAAAGATGTTTAACCGTCTTCCAACCGGTATAAAAGAATGTTATGGCGGAAGAAAGTTTAAAAAATGTTTGGAATCCTACCTTGTACAAAAAGAACCGCACACTTTTATAGAATTATTTATGTCTGGCTGATTTGTATTTTTATTTTTTATATATTGTTTAAATGTTTATATTATTTATTAAATGTTATAACTGTAGTTATTATAGACAACTGAGATGAATAATTGTAAAGAATTGTACCTATTCAGAAAATAAATGACTTATGACTTAAGCAGGAAACCCACTGGTCCGACACGACACCTTCCGTCAAGTCTCCGACACCTTCCGACAAAATTACTTTGCATGACTTTAAATGGACTGTAACCCACTAGTCCAACACGATACATTCTGATCCGACACTTCACGACAACATTGCTCTCTGGGGCATTCTTGTCGGATCGGATCCGTCATTTCTCCACTCTGCGTGCACCAGGCCTAGATTTAGTCACTGTCTAGCTTTGTGTGTGATCATAATATGTGGAACAGATATGGAACATGTGATCACAAGTGTGTGATGTTTTTGTACAATTATTTTCATTTCATTTTCATTTTTATTAAACGGCAAACACCATTTTACAAGTGGGTTTAACAAGATTACATTATACATTGTGCATTATACATACATACCAAAGACAGAGCCATTTGAAAATGAGCGAAAAACAGTTTCCAGCTTAAACACAAAATCAATAAGACAATCGATAGAAAAATCAACAATAAATAACAATAAAAATAAATAACAATATAATAAATAACAATATAATACATAACAATATAAATAAATAACAATCCCGTTATATTACAAATTATTATATTACAAGATATTAATATTCGAGAAGATAATCAATCAACAATAGAAATAACACAAATAATTGAAAGGAATATATCATTAAAAACTATAGAAAACAACAAGGAGTAACAACAATTGATAAAGATTTAAAAAAATTTAACAGGGATTAAAATATTAAGAATGAAAACGATACAGTGATAAATCTCAGACAAAAAGAAAAACTTGAATTGACAGAATAATATTGCTTGGCAGTTGGCACTTCCTCTCACTGATTGTGTGGCCCTTTAGAGGCACCACCAAAAACACACTCACTTCACTGCACATGTGGCACTTACGCACATGTGGTTATTGGTTACGGAGAAAATTAAAAAAATTGTTATTTTAAAATTCCCATCTTATTCTTATGGATAATATTGTAAAATAATGTAGTTTGCTTTCTGATGGATATATTTTTATCAAACTTGGTAAATTTATTCATTTTATTCTAAGTTGTAAATATTTTACTAAAAAAAACACACTTTTTTACCCTCCCTGTAGCAGCAAGCCTACGTACTCATAAAAACTGATGTAATATATGTAATGTAATACATTTAATTGAAAATCAATTCAGGCAAATATAAATTTGCTTAGTCGGCAGGTTTGCTGTGGGGGGGGTATTATTGTTAATGTTTTGTATTGTACTTTTTGCTTATTTCCCTGTAGTAAAGTAATTGCAACCGGAATTATCAAGGTGGGTCTAAGTATATTAACAGTTTCAAATCAATGAAAAGAAATGGTATTATCATAAAATTTACATAACAATATGAGGAAATGAATATAGATATTACATCTAAAGTTTAAAAAGCTAAATATCAAAAATCCATTTTATATCCATTTTTATTTTGGGTCCACTAGACCCACACGTGCGCTCCAGCGTAAAAAAAAGCAACGTGGGCTTAGGGCTTAATTACAGTATCACAAAACACCCATTTATACAGTAGGCCTATCTGACGTTTTTACTGGTATGCAATAAATATTTATGCCATGTTGGATTAAAAGTGGTTTTCAGTTATCTGTGGTCTCCCCCCCCCCCCCCCCCCACCCATTACGCCGGATATTTGAGGATTCACTGTACTTTCTATCTAACCTAAGGTAAAGCTGGTCTCTAAATAAAACTTCATACCATCACTTCATCAATTTGTATTTTTTGAAATATTTTTGCACATCTTCCTTAGGAGAAGGTTTTACTGCCAAGCAAGTTGCTACATTTTCTGGCTGTTCGATCCATAGCTTATGACTTACTGAGTCTTCTTTGAGTTCTTCTGATATCTTTTTAAGAGTTTCCTCGTCTGGAACCTGGAATTTAAAAGTATTATATAAAACTAGGTGAAACCCGTCAAAATCGACGGTTACTTTCAAGGCTTACGTTAATTCATATAACTGCGATAAATTGGGTAAAATATACATATTTTGAGCATTTAGCATTGTTTAAAGAGTAATAAGTATAAAAACAATAATAATATTAATTGCGTTAGTCGCCAAATTTGGTTGATTATTCAATGAATAAAATATTCCACATACCGTACGTCATCGGAGTTATTATTAGTATGGTATCTCTTCCTTTGGAAGAACCTTTAAATAGTATTAAAATCGTATTGGTGGATCTTTTGTAGTTAAACACTTCCGTGATTTCATCAGTGTAATATGATTTTATTTGAAAAGAAAATATTTTTTGGAAGACATATTCTAATTTCAAAGGGAGGTATATCCGTTACAGTGTAAGTTTGATTTTTCCTTCGTCACGTCGCGTCAGTTCATATCGTACTTCTGTGCCAATGAATGAACCCTCTAGCATAGTTTTGAGAAATGGATTGTGGGTGTCGTAACCTAACGTTACGCTAGAAAAGTGGACAGTAATTATAAAGAACCACTTACGATCGCTGTTGGACATAGAAGAAGGAGCCGTGACGAATCATCCCACTTCAGGGCTCAGTGCACAGTGCAGCCACCCCGCAAAACATAATAACTCTTCCGTTACTAATAATTATAACTGTTCATATATGAAACTATAATGACTTCTACTACACTCGTCTTCCCCATAAAAAAAAGTCAATATCATAAATTCAAAATTAACTCAACTTTCAAAATAAAATAAATTCACTTTCAATAAAATGCAACCAAAATTTCTTCTTCCCATTATTCCGTAATAATTTTACAAGTCCAGCCTGTGAGGCTTTCGCACAGTCCGTGCAGACTTCCTCAGCGAGGGTGGTGGGCTGCACTGTGCTAGCGGCGACGCAGGAGTTGGCTGAGACTGGGCTTGCCCTAGGCTCTCCCTGGGACTGGTCGTAGGCCTAGGTACAGGTGACATCATCATGGGACTGGTTGGTCGATCCTCCGGCGGGGGTGAATTCTTGGGTACTTGGGGTGATACAACGGGGTCCTTGGGTGATACAAAAATCTCCTCCTCTTCTGCATACCGAGCTCTCAAGTGATCCGCATGACAAAATCGGGGTTTTCCACCAATAACACTCACCAGATAGGTGACCGGACTTCTCTTTAGAATTATTTTGCCAGGAACCCAAGATATCTTTTCATTTCGGACAGTTTTGACATAGACTGCCTGACCTTCTGAGAAAAATCTGCTTCTTCCCCTAAGCCTATCAGCTGCATCTTTTTGTTCCCTGTGTTTTTGATCAATGGATGACTGGAGATTGGGTTTTAACATAACCAACTGAGTACGAGGCTTCCAAGACAGGAACATTTCTGCAGGGGTTAAGCCAGTAACTGTATTTGGAGTGTTGCGGTACGCAAACAAGAAATTATCTAATTTCATTTGAAGAGTGGTACGCTGAGAACGCTGATGTTCCTCAATCACTTGACGCAAAAGGTTTTTCTTGACCTCCTGAACACTTCTCTCTGCAGATCCATTTGAAGCCGCATGATACGGGGGAGTTAATGTGAACTTCACATTGTTGTTATGCAAAAAGGTCTTGAACTCTTGACTAGTAAAAGATCTTCCGTTGTCCGACACCAGTTCAACAGGCAATCCATACGATGAAAACAAGGTACGGAGTTTCTCGATAACCTTGGAAGAATTCATGGAACTCATGATAAATACCTCTAACCATTTAGAGTATGTGTCAATCAAAACTAAAAGTTGCTGTCTCGACTCTGGATCCTCCGCAAAGTCAATGTGTATCCTCTGCCATCGAGTTGATGTTGTAGGCCATTGCTGCAACGGTACTTTAGGTACCGAATTCCTAGTTAACTGACACGCAGAACAAGAGGCCACCACGTCTTCAATCGACTTCTCCATGCCTGGCCACCAGACATAACTTCTCGCCAGCATCTTCATGCGTGTAACTCCCGGGTGTTGATCATGCAACATTTGAAGCACAGATGAATACAGTTTCTTTGGAATCACTACACGAGAACCCCACAGCAAACAACCTTGTTCCACGGACAACTCGTCCTTCTTCCTTAGAAAAATAGCTAGTTCTGGCTCAACCGAGCTCGTCCAGCCGTACATCACAAAATCTCGGACCTTCGAAAGAATCGGATCCTTATCCGTCATTTTACCTATATGCAAGGCAGTAATAGGTGCAATGTCCTTGACAACACAGAAATTGTTCATCACTTCTGTACACACATCTACATGTGAAACAAAATTAGCATCCAGCTCTATAGGTTCCGCTTCTGCTAAGGGTAACCTAGACAACGCATCAGCGTGAGGGACATCCACTCCCTTCCGGTACCTAACCTCCAAATCATATGCTGATAGAATCAAGGCCCATCTCTGCAGCCTAGCTGCCGCCATACTAGGAACGCCCTTTTTAGAGCCAAAAATAGCCGTCAACGGCTGATGATCAGTCTGTAGAATACAGTGTCTTCCATATATATACTTATGAAACTTTTTGACTCCAAAGATCAAAGCCAGAGCCTCCCGATGTAACTGAGAATAATTCCGTTCACTGGAACTTAGCGTTTTCGATGCGAAGGCAATTGGCCTTTCCTGACCATCGATAAGATGAGATAGAACAGCAGCCACCCCTCTGGGACTCGCATCACACGTCAGAACTATGGGCTTTTTAACATCATAGTGAACTAACAAACTTGAGTCCAACACCCATGATTTACTCTCCTGAAAAGTCTTAGAACACACCTCCGACCACACCCATGGATGATCCTTATGTAATAAGTCATAAAAACAGCTTATTCTAGCAGACAGGTTAGGTATAAATGCATGATAATAATTTATTAGACCAATATAGGCTCGTAACTCTTCCTTAGTACTAGGCTCAGGCGCTTTACGCAGCGCAGTTAACAAACTTTCTTGTGGACGGAGACCATCTCGAGTAATCACATGTCCTAAATACTCGATTGAAGATTGCAAAAACTTACACTTTTGTTGGTTTACTCGAACACCAAACTCATCAAGGCGTTGCAGCACCTGCGCCAGACGGGCAAGCCCCTCTTCCTTAGAGCGAGCCGCCACTAAGACGTCATCTAAGTACGCCACCGTTCCTGGAAGACCTGTTAAAATTTGGTCGATGGCTGACTGAAAAATTGCAGGAGCTGAAGACAAACCATATGGTAGCCTTTTTAAACGATACAGACCCTTATGGGTAGCTAGGGTCAACAGATGTTGCGATTCATCCGCTACCGCCAATTGCTGATACGCATTTGAAAGATCAAGGCAGCTAAAAACTGAGCAACCGCCTAGAGTTGCAAAAATATCTTGAGCCTGTGGAAGCGGATAATGTTCCATTTCAATACACTGATTAAGAGTAATCTTATAATCGGCACAAAGCCTAACACCATTAGGCTTAGGGACAACCACAAGTGGAGTGCTCCACTGTGAATTAGTAACTCTGTACGCAACATCCTCTTGAACCATGCGGTCCAACTCACTCTCAACTTTCTCCCTTAACGCAAAAGGCACTGGTCTCGCCTTACAAAACTTAGGGACTGTCCCCTCCTTTAAGACAATATGAGCCTTAACACCCTTAATTTCGCCCGTTCCAGGCTGAAAAACTGACTTAAATTTACTCTTCAATTTAGCAATGTCCAAATCAGAACTGTGATCCACAGTGGCTTTACATGAAAACACATTTTGCCAATCTAACCTCAACTGGCCTAACCAGTTTCGCCCCAACAGAATCGGCTGACTCTTACTTTCTAAACTAACTACTGTCAAAGGCAAACTCGCCTGCTGATTATTATATTTAACATTGACATTCACTTGTCCCAGAACAGGTACATCATGACCTGAATAAGTAGTAAGTTTCACATTTGCTGGCCTAAGTTTGAGGTTAGAAAATTTTTCATAAAATATCTCAGAAGGACATATAGTCAAGGCACTGCCTGTATCTAGAATCATTTCTAAATATACATCATTAGCCACTAGGCCTACCTTATAGCCGTTGTCTGATCCTGATTTAAGGTTGTACAAACCTATCTCTGCCATTGGAACTTCTAGGCCTAGGCCTACCTCTTCCTCCACTTGATGGACCCCCATCCTAGGTGTCGACTTTTTACCATGGAAACTAGAAGATTTCTTGGCTTTACACACTTTCTTGAGATGACCTACTCTCTGACAACCGTGACACTTGTAACTGGCGAACGCACACGCACTAGGCCAATGACCCGCAGAACCACACCTCCAGCAAGAGTTTCTAGAATTTTGATTTTCACTACTCCTATGTATGAAAGTTTTAGGCCTATTTTGACTTTTCACATTGATTTTCGCAATGTCCCCACGAGGTTGCACAAATAGGCTTGACTGCGATTCGGCCTGTTCCAGCCTGAGCGCTGACGCATAAGCTTCGTCAAAGTCCAATTCCTCCGACAACAATTTCTGCCGGATAGTTTCATTAGAAATGCCGGAAATCACTTTGTCCCTCAAAGCGCCTTTCAAAAAGGTACCAAATTTGCACGAACTAGCCAAATGTTTTATTGAAACCACAAACTCCGCTATGCTTTCGCCCGGCTTTTGCACACGAGAGTAGAATACATATCGCTCCGCCACAACCAACTTCTTGGGCGCATAATGTAATTTCAACAACGCTGCAAGTTCATCATAGGTCTTAGAATCTACCTCTACCGGTGATAATAAATCGGATAGGACCGATAAAACCCTGGGACCAATAACTGTAATTAAAACCGACACCTCGTTTTCCTTCTTGACATTGTTCGCTTTGAAAAAATGTTTCAGGCGCAACAAATAGGGCACAATGTCCTCCTCACTTGGATTAAATTCAGAAATCCTGCCAACACTAATACTCGCCATTTTTAATCATCTCAACTATAATACGCACTAAAACAACAACTGTTATCGCGTACTACCCTAACTA